TCCGTTTCCTATATCATTTATTTATTGTAAATAAATCTTTTACTGTTTGAACACTCATTCCTGTCGTGTCGTGTGTCTGCATCTGAGTCCAAAACTCGATTCGTAGCATTTTCACTTTTGCTTGTCAGTGCTTACAAATTTAGAATGAAAATTTCAGGTGTGACAATTCAAAGCAAAAATTAAAGGTGTTCATATTTGATAAGCCAAAATTCAGTTCACGAAATTTACTGTTAAAAAATTTGCAGTTCACCTTAGGCAAAAATAATCGATTCTGACTTAAGTCAAACAAACGTCCACCCAATCAAGTTATGCTCCATTGGTCATGTGACATCCATGCCTGAAGGCACAGGAAGGCAGTCAGCCATTGCAACCAACAGTCTCACCCAGCTGGTGGAGGCAGATGGCTGCCTTCTCTGAGCATGGTTCTGCTGGAGGTTTTTTCCCCCCCTCCTTTGAGGGGGGTGTTGTTCCTTGCCACCATTGCCAACCGATTGCTCAGAGGCAGTCCAAAGGCTACTTTGGATTGTTGGGTTGTCTGTTTAAATTTGTAAGGGATATATTTTACTTTGTTAAGCACTATGTGATGACTGCACTATACAAATAAAATTGAATTGAAGTGAACAGTGACGCCAGTAACTGTTAAAGTAAGTGTGGAAGTTTAAAAAAACAAAAAACAAAACCAAAAAAAACACAGCAAAACAAACCATAATTTTTCAATACCAAAATTATTGCCTATTGCACTTTATTGGAACCTGATGAGAGTATGCAGGACAGTGCCAAGTTTTTCTTTTTTCATCTTTATCAAGACAACCTTCAAATATGCCTGTCATAACATTGTGACATTTTAATGTAATTAGAAAAAAACCAACAAAACAAAACACAATATTGTGATGGTACTGAGAATGCAGGTTTTAACACCATTATTTTGTATAGGTTCTTTTCAGGTATTTCTTGCAACAAGTCTAGTTCATGCCAAAAGACTTAAACCATTTGAAGTGCCTTTCTAAACACAGAGGTACATGCAAATGTGATTTTAATAAAAAGGTTGATTTTTGTGTTTTAACAATTAAATTAGAAGGCAAGAACACCGAATATTTGAAAGTGTGCCGACTGTTTTTATATTCAGACAATTAATACTGCATAAAAGTTTTTAAAAATCTTGTTGAACGTTATACACATTCCTTATTGTCCCGTGGAAAACGGTAAACTTCCCCATAATGATAACTCAAGCATCTTGAATGTAAATTCTTGCCCTTCACAGAGAGCTTCTCACAGTACTATCTGCATACGAAGCTCAACAGGATCTTGAATGGAGAATGGAGATGCCATTTTTCAAGAGAACTGATTGGTTAGTAGGCAGACTTTACAAAGTTTTACTACACATTGATCTATGATGTCGAACATAACCTGCTCCAGACCAGGTAAGGCATTCAGCATTAGTTACCAAGGTGGTGTACAGTAAAAAGTGAACTACTGTCAGAGTCCTGAAAACCCACAGGTAAACCTGAAGTTACCTCACCTTCATCAAATCCCATTCGATAGTACAGGCCTCAGGTGATTTTGAGAATAAATCACATGGGTTTGAGGATGTTGTATAACTACACACAGCAGGTAAAGAAACCTTGAAATCATTAGTGCAAGGATGTATGGAGGAATATTCTGGGTGGATTCATGTTGTGATGTACGACGTAGAATGGGGAGGGTAAGAGGAGGGAAGAGGGTAACTCAGGTCTCCACCACAAACTTACAACAATAGACCCTGGTGAAAATTAGCAACATAGATTAATTAGACCATTTACTATTCTATCCTTTATTTTTTTCCCCCAAAAATGGCATAGACATTGCAGTGTTGTAGAAAACACATCTTAAACCTATTGCCATTTTCAGGATTCCAAACTACTTGATTAACCTATTGGGGCATCAGCTGATGGTACTCCTACAAAAGGTAATTATGACATTGATAAGTCATAGATGCAGTTAATGAAAAGCTTAGCTTTAACAGTGAAAGAAATTGAGCTTTCTGCTGTTTGTCCATTCAGTTCAAAAACGTTGTGTTCATTAGCCTATATCCCCCAACTCTGATCAAGGCTGAATTCTTTTCCTCAGTTACTTCACAATTATTGAAGCTGAGTGACTACCAGCTATGTGTTGGGTCAAATGTGAATGCTTTTGTAAACAGCAATCTTAATAAATCTTCCTTTGTTTTTATCAGTGTCTCAATGTTGTGTCCAAAGCATGTAGTCTGTAATCCATCTGCTGAAGACTGTATCATTTCTCCACATAAAACTTTTTCTTAAATAAATTACATTCTTATATCCTCTGGCTTGTTTCCTTTGGAAAACTTAATTATTATTTTGTCTAGATTTATCTGATCACAACCCAGTTAAATCTACTTTTAGTTATGAAAATATCTAAAATAAGGCCACTATATTGAGGTTTAACTCCACCCCTGAAAAAAAAATACCACACATTTCCAACACAATTGAGATAAAAACAAATTTATAAATGTAGGCAAAAACAATGTCTTAGATATGATAGCAGGTTACATATGGGGGCATGATTGTAGCAGAACTGTTTGTCCATGCGTATGGAGAGTAATCTGTCTATATCTCAATCCATTCGCCCAAAATTCAGACATGTAATAAGAGTTGTCAACACCTCTCTGTGCGCATTGACAACTCTTATTACATGTCCGAATTTTAATACAGATGAGCAGATTTTTTTTTCACATTTGAAAACCTGATTACAGACAGACAAACTGTGAGACAACTTTTGTAGATTCCGGTTCGCACTGACAGCTTCTTCTACACATTGACAAATCTTACTTTGGGCGAATGGATTGAGATACAGACAGACAACTCTCCATACGCATGGACAAACAGTTTTGCTACAATAATTCCCCCATTGTTGCACATCTTTCCAGGGTTTCATACGAAAAAAACAGCAACAGCTAGAAGTTCTATACCTGTAATTTGCCAAATGCCAAAATAGCATCTTTAATGGAGAAATAAATGCTCCAATACTTGTTCCAATTCTCCATTCAAGAATTACTTAAAATAGCTGCAAGTAGCTAAACTTTTTCTGTAAATGGCTTCACCCTTTCTTTTTATGGACTGGACCTCCCAGTGCTGTCAGAAGAAGTCACCAAAACTTTAGACTCGTCTGGTTTACTGGATGAGCTGTAGAGAACAGTCAAAGATACAAGCAGGGGCTGTATGCCAGGTAAAGTCTGCATACCTGTGGAACTTCACCTGTCACCATTCTTGGAGCAGCATGGCAAGAAACACTGTGCTATACTACTGAATATGGCAGTTTCCATAGAGATCTAACCCCTGCTTACAGTAATACTAAAGGGTGGTGAGCACCCCTCAGTCACTGTTTATTCTTACTGATAAATTCAACCTCAAGATATTTTTTTAAGACTCCTAGCCAACAGAATTGAAAAAGAGTCTAGAAAATGTATTTAGCCCAGATCAGCAGGCTTGGCTTGCCTCTGATAATATTCCCATCTCTTAACATATAGTGGGTGCACCACATTAACTCTTGCCTCCCTGTGGCCTGCTATTTTTGGTTGTCGAACAGGTTTTCCATCAGTTTGAATGGCCATGTCTTTGGCAGGTTCTAAAAGAATGTAAGTTTGAAGATAACTTCATTAACTCTGCATGCTAATCCTTCAGCCTTGGTTTATGTGGGTGGTGGCTTCTCAGGTGTTTCTGACATAGAACAGGGTCAGCAAGGGAACCCTCTGTCAAAATCACTTTAAAAGGCTCTCTTGATGTCAGGTGATGTCAGCTCACTTCACAAATTCAATTGAATTTGTAAAATCCCTAATGATCATGTCACAAACAGATCAACCAATTTGTCACACCAAAGCAATACGCAAATACACTATGAATAACTTTACACTTTGAATTTCTTGCAGTTTATCCTTAACATAGCTACAATTCCCAATACATTACAAAGCTCCTTCTTCTGTATGCAGTTGTAGAGTTGGACCTTACCAATGAGGGGACAAAAAAATGTATCTTTAGAGAACAGATGTTAGTAAATTATACTGTTTACAGCCGTTAAGTGTATTTTTGGTGTGAAAGACTGCTCAGTACAAAGTATTAACATGACAAGTTGTGATTTTCTGTTAGGGTGGATTATTTTGGAACTTAAGACAGGTGACATGGTGAGCAACAAATGCTTTATTTTTCTGAACTGAATTTAAAAAAGAAAATAAAAAAAAAAGAAAAAACACTTACTTTGTACACCTAAACTTCTGCAGACTGGGGACAGATTTTTTACACTGTCTCATATCTTTGAAAAAAAAAAAAGAAAAAAAAAAGACAGATCTGAAAATAACATTAGAAATGCATCAAAACCTTCCAGGTAAAAGAAATGTACAAAAAGATTCATCACCGTGAACATATTTTAACAAAAACGAACTAATAAAACATCTGCTAGGATTTGTCGAAAATTTAATACTGTGCAAAATCTGTCTATAATATTGAAATGGCATTCATGTAGAATTAAAAAGCATTGCTAAATAGTAAAAACAACTTCAAGCAAAGAGTCAGTGGCAGAGTCCAACAAAAAACCCAAAGGCAGTGTAGAATTGCAATTCCATATCTACAAAATCTGCATCTTAACAACCTAGCTATGTACACTGTACAGAGATTTAAACATAAACATGTATTTTTCACAAAGAAAAAAGGAACTGCTTGCCTGAGTGGATGTGCTGTCTCTTATCTAGGCCAGATGGGCACTAAGCCATTAGTAATCTTGACAAGAGTAACAGAAAACATTGGAATGCAGTGCCTCTAAAAATGTGTGCTTCGCGTGGCTTTTATTTCTTTAGCGAATAATGTGACAACATTAAATAGATTATACAAGTGGAGGGACACCAGCTAAATGATGGGCATCAACTCAGGCTCACAGTATAATGTAGCTGACGTTTGACAATTATTTTTGCCAAAGGTTTTCAACTCTGTAGAGACACTGTCTTTACAGTGTCCTTTTTTTTTTTTTTTTTTTACATTTCATCACATACATCATGATATGCCAATAGCAAGTGCAAGAAAACAAGATCACTAGTGCAACATAAAAACAATTCCATAAAATGAAATGACTAACGGTAAAAGTGGCTGTGGTTGCAAATATACATTTTTATGTTTTCTATCATAACATTATTGGAACCTCACTGCTTTGTTCTTTGGAAGTAAACGAGCTTCCCTTGTCTGATGTACTTATTCCATGAGAACAACCAATGTTTGTTTTTTTTATGCTTAAACTTCTGTACAAGACAGTTAGAAATAAAGCACCGGTCAATAACAAGTTACCAAATATTTTGACATTTTGACAAAAATGGAACATATCCTCAATTGAAACAGCTGCTTCATTCAGTATTCAGTGTCATAGAATCACTATAACCTGTTTTGCTAATAGTCAAATGTCAATATTGCTGAAGCTTTTTCTTTTGATTTGGTATTGAACTGCTTACTTTTGAAATTTTTATTATTATAATTTTTTTTTAAAATCTCAGGACGATACTCCCTTTTGCCATAAATATCCAGAAAATTTATCAGCAGGATTCCATATTGGATATTCCTGGGTATTAAGGGGAAGAAAAAATTCTGTAGCAAAAACAACAAAATGTTAGCATCAAATGTTTTGGCTTGCCCGGAAAAATCTTTAGATTTTTTTAATCTGTAGTTTTCTTCCTTTCTTTTCTGTGTTACCTCTGATTCTTTTAAAGAAGTGATTTCTGGACTTCTCTAGTGTCATGACCTTAGTTTCAGCTTCCAATCCTCCTGCCCGCAGCCCATCTCACTCTTTGTCCTTCTGTGTCTGTATGCCTTCTTGCAGGAATGAGACAAGTGCACTGCAGCATGAGCAGAGCATCACTAGCTGCAGTACATCAGGTTCGTCAAGCGTGCTTAACATGCTCAGTCATGCCATCACCATTAGCAGAATGTAGACTCTGCTAATGCAATCAATCAAGCTTCCAGCCATAATCTGGACTTTCGCTGTTCTAGCAGCGAAAGTCATGATAGTATATATATATATATATATATATATACAGTATATACATATATATACTATCATTCATCCCCTGCCAAGAATATCCAATGTGAAATGTGTTAAAATTAGAGGTATAAAGCATAAACAGGACTTCTAGTGAGCATTGCAAATGTGGAAGGACCGCTAGAAACGGTGTTTCATTGCATAAGGAGACTACTTTAAACAGGATGATAACCAAATTTAAATCAGATATGTTATTTACTTTTTATATCTGCATTCCAAACTTTTTAAATGTACATTAGCAACCACAGCAGCTCATGGCTGCCACACATAACAAAGTAAAAAAAAAAAAAGACACACTGCATATCTGGGCTAATGACAGAAGGTGTATAAAATGTCATGGACAGTTCTGTTGGGGGCAGGGGGGATAGGAGCAAGCACTTTCCACAATAAAACAAATGAATGGCTTTTTGAAATGTGGTCATAACATTGTTTCATACATGTTACCAGCAAGGTCATAGTATTTTACAAAGTCTTTATAAGCTTAGAGCACTACAAAGTATACAAATCAGGGGAAAGGAAGAAAAGGGTAAGTTGTGTCTTTTCAGAAAGAGGTGTTCTGATGGGCCTTTGTGACGGAGCAGGGAACCTACAACGCTTTCAACTTACACGATTGTCCCTTCTGTTTTCCTCTAATTCTCTCAATTGTATCTGTAAATTTCAGTCTTTTCTAGATGAGTCTTTCTCGTTCACATTCTCTATCCATTCTTTTCACATTCCAAGTATATCCCTATTAGAACAGGAAGGACACTTCTGACTCTTCTGCACAGTGGGAACAGGACTGAAAACACAACAAGTTTGTTATTCATGGTACTGTAAAACTTTCCCCCACACATTTCCACTTCTTGACATAGTTGCTTAAGAGAATAGTATTTGTAAAATGTGGTTTTAAATTTGTGAATCTGAAGTCATTGTTATAGTTTATGCTTGCAGCAGTATGCAGCATTGCTGACAAAGCATTTCTTCCCCTGCGACAACATTCAGTTAACTTCTACCTGCATCACTGCTGTGCTCCTACTGGCCCGTTACACACCCCAAAGCATCCCTGCACTGGTCAATCAATCACACCTCAGTCTGTTGCTGTGAGTCGGTGATGATGGTTACTCCACGGCGAAGCTCGTCCATACTGTCAAAATCACTACCATGTTCTGAGTCATCTGGCCCGCAGGGAGCCGACATGTCTGAGGCTGATGATGCACCAACAGATAGTCCCATATTTAGCGACACAGAATCATCACTGTCCTCATTTCCTGGTGATACCATACCCACTGAATTGCTGAAGTCCCCCTGAGGTGCTTCCCCAAAGGGTAGCTGGTGGGGGGGCAAGTACTGGCTGGGGTGGAAGTGTGGTCTGGTATGCTGATGTCCGGTGCTGCCAGAGCTCAGTGTGCTTTCTTTGGAGGCTGGTGGATTAGCAGGGAGAGGTGTGTAGGGCTCAGGATAATCCTCGCCTGATGGCAGCGGAGGTGGTAGCTGGTCTTGGCTCAAGAACTCCTCTTCGTGGGGAGGAGGGTAATCGCTGTCGATGTCATAGCCCCCCAGGTAGTAGTCTGACTCCAGTTCTCGGGTGCTTCCTACAAGATGAGGGGCTGAGCCTGCTACCTCACTGCCAGGACCTACCTCAAAGCCTGGCACTTCTTCAATGTCTGACAGCCTTGTGCTCGGCATCCAGTCTGATGTGTCCCAGTGATATGCTGGACAGTGGAAGGGGAGATGGTTAGCAACAATCTGAACTGTAAAACTTGTAAAAGTCTAGAGTCGCACATTTGCCCGAGCCAACAAACCGGTCTCCACAATGTTGAATTGTGCAGTAGACATGCCTTTAGTAAGCACCAGGGATGTTAGACTCAGTATCATCAATAACAGAGGTGTTGAAGGTCATGTTCATAAAAAGGCACAACCTGTACGGAAAACATGTTAGGTCTTTGGAGGGTATGTGACATGCAAAATAGGAAACTCTGAGGGTCGACGTCACAGGAGTCACAGCATGCTGAGCTTCATTAAGAATTACCAGCAGTTAAGCCATGTTGAAGGGTTAAAAAAAAAAAAAAAAGTACAATTGATTCAGTTCAGGTAGAAGAATACATCACATATCTAGTAGATTTTCCTGTTGGTCAGCATAACCAAGTGATGAAAAAGACATCTATAGCCACGTGAAATAGTAAGTACATCCCAAATTGTTGGTTTGTTGACATACTTGCACAAGCAAACATCTGATTGTCAAACTCCTTACAAGTGTACAGCTACTGTAAAGACTTTTAAGTGCATAAATTCATTAACCTTCCTCTCGTGTTAGGGTCGCCACCAACCCATTTTTAGGTTTTAAGTGCATATAACAACCACAGAAATTTATTTATTTCATCAACGCTTCTTGACTTTGTCAGGAACCTCTATTTCAACAAAATAAAACAAACAACTTTTTTTTTTTTTTTTTTAACTAAATTATAAAATGCTCTAGTTGAAATTGTAGCGTTTTTGGTGTTAGGGTTGGTTTCGACCCAGTTATAAAAATAAGATTATAAAGCAATAATTAGAGCCAAAACTGAAATCATAAGTGCACTGTCAGCCAACACACTGACAGCCAGCTCCTCTCCCAATCATTCTCATTTTGCCTTGTTTTCCCATATACCTACACAAAAACAAAACAAAGATGGGTATGTCCAGACATGTGAGTTTGATTCCGTATAGAGTTGGTGACTTGCAGAGTGCACATCTCCAATTTGCAGAGAACAAAAATGAGAAGATTTTCACTGAGCCAAGTTCTGGATAATATTTTTGATGAAAATGAGGGAGAGGACACAGACCAGCACAGTGACATGGATGAGCAGGTGTCTGAGGAGGTGGACAATGTGGAGTGTAATCCAGAAGACACAGACACATCTGAGGTGTCTGATGAGGAGGTCACCAGTGGTGAAGCTGCTCCTGCTGAGAGATTCAAGTCCAAAAATGGCAAGATCATTTGGAGCTCAGTACCTCATGATGTACATGGCAGGGCAGCTGCTGCAAATGTCATCAAAATTACCCCTAGAATCACAAGGTTTGCTGTGACAAAAGTCAGTGACATCAAGACATGTTCTGAGCTATGCCTTTGTCACTAAAAAGAATCATCATTGTTATGACAAACTTTGAAAGAGAAAAAGTCCATGGCAACATGTGGAAACACACTGATGAGGAATACCTGGATGCTTATTAGGGTCTGAGCACTAACAGTACGTAGGACCCTATTGAAATTGCTAGGGTTTATTATTAGGGTCCAAGCACCCAAAGGGTGCAAAGACCCTATTGGAATGGTAGGATTTTTTATTATTATTCGTGACAAAGAGACGCGCTTTTGAGGCCCTAAACGTACTCGAAACTGCACAAAACTTAGCACACACATCAGACCCAGTGAAAAATTTTATAATTTGGAAGAAAAATACACACCTTTAATCGAAAAATTGCTCCACAGCGCCACCTTGAAATTTTCAACGGAGTCCCGTTGGAAACACATTTGGCCTAAAACTACGCAATTTGTTGGGCATATAGAGCAGGTCAGGACAAACAAAAACGTCGACCAGCGCCAAGCTCTAAAATGCAACACAGCTCCACTGCGCCCCCTACAATATTTCAACAGAGTCCCATTGGGGCTACGTTTCACCTAGAACAATGAAATTCGGCTTCGCAGATGAGGCCCAGTTTGGAAATGGCAGACCGTGCAATTTCGATCAATGGCCATTTTGTCCATTATCGCTGTGTTTTTGGGATTCAATGGAGTCCTGTCGGAAGGCCGTTTCACCTACAGCTACAAGATTTGGTCGGCATGTGTAGCAGCTCAGTACGCACAAAAAAGTCAATTGGTGCCAAGGCCTAAACCCAACAGGAAGTCCGCCATTTTGAAAAAAAAAATAGTGACACTTCTGGCGACTTTGCCTGGCTTTTCAACATTTTCCGCCATTTTCAAAATCTATCTCCTCCTATAGGGAAGGTCGTACACACCTGAAATGTGGCCAGCAAAAACACCAGGAGATGGTGATTACAAGTTACTAAAACGGTCCGCACAAGTCTGACACTGTGGAAATGGCGCCCCCCTGAATTTGGCCACAACGCCATAAAACACCAGAATACGAGACGTGCTGTGTAACTGGCCTGTACCTGAAACTTTACACGCGTGGTCCGAGTCTCAGCCACAGCGCGTTTCCACCCCGGCCAACACGCACGCCACCGCGACTCGCCACTAAACAGGAAGTGGCTCGTAGGTAGGCCGCACCTGCTCCAATCTGCCTCAAACTCGACACGCCAGATCACAGTCCCGCCCGGAGCACGTTTGCGCCACACCCCGATGTGCTCAAAGGCCAACAAGCGTAGGGCGAGGATCCGTCAAATGCCGCTTGCGACTTCAATTATTATTATTTATGCCAATGAAACGTGTTTTTGAGGTCCTAAACGTACTCACACACGCACTAAACATGCCACACACATCAGACCTGATGAAAAAAAAATTTAATTAGGGGGAAATACACACCTTAACAGAAAAATGGCTCAACATCGCCACCTACAAAATTACAAAAAATGGGCCCCCGAAGACGCTTTCACATAGAGCCATGAAATTCGGCACACACATGTAACAACTTGAGACACAAAAAAGCCTCAAGAACACATACCCAAAACACAACAGGAAGTCAGCCATTTAAAAAAAAATGAAACAATTTTCAAAATTCATCTCCTCTTAGGGGGTAAGCTGTACACACTTCAAATTTGGCCAGCACAAACTACAGGACATGGTGAATAAAAGTTATCAAAATGCTCCGCAAAAGTCTCACGGCGTGGAAATGCCCATGCAATTTCGATCAATGGCCATTTTCGCTAATTTTTGGCCATTTTCAGCCATTTTCAAAATCTATCTCCTCCTAGGGGGAACGTTGTAGACACTTGAAATTTGGCCAGCACAAACTACAGGACATGGTGTTTAAAAGTTATTAAAAAGCTCCGCAAAAGTCTGACGGTGTCAAAATGGCGGCCTGTAGAATTTCGCCAAACTGCCATAAAATGCAATTAAATGGGACGTGCGGTGTAACTGGCCTGTGTGTGCTCCGATCTCCTTGAAATCGGATCAGACTCGCGTCCAATGCCGCTTGCGGCTTTAATTTTGGTGTTCTTCGAGCTAGAGTGTACAGATCCTGCAATGAGGCCACTGATAGTCTCTGGGACGCATCGACAGGCAGAAATATTGTCCCAGCTACAATGTCACTTCAGACCTTCCAAATTATATCAAGAGTCCTCAGTTGTGACAACAGAGCAAGAAGTGACAAACTTTCCCCCATCAGGGATGTCTGGGAAAGATGGGTGAAGCTTCTTTTACTCATGTTCAACCCAGGGCCAGAGGTGACAGTGGATGAACGTCTTGTCCCTTTCGGAGGAAAATGCCCCTTCCAGCAGTACATGCCCAGTAAGCCAGGAAAGTACAGCATAAAAATCTGGGCAGCCTGTGATGCAAAAACCAGCAATGCCTGGAATCTACAGATTTACACAGGCAAAGCTGCAAGTGGCATCCCTGAGAAAAACCAAGGAAAACGTGTGATTCTCGATGTGACAATATTTTTTACCAGCTATGTCCTTGGACAAGAACTTCTCAGGAGGAAACTTACCACCTTTTGCTGAAAAAATACTTTTTTGCCTTTTTCTTGAAGTAAATATATAAGGGTCGAAATTGACCCATAACACCATATATGTTAGTATAGGTAAAAATATTAAAATGAAAAAAAAAAAAAATCATTTAAGAGATGTGTTCTAATACCCCTCAGTAATAGCCAGGTAACACAACAACCTTTTGCTCATCTATATCATTCTCTTGAGGATCATTTTATCGTTTTTAAAATTTAAATCGAGGGGTATACTGACAAAAAAAAGACGCAGAGGCCCACACCAAAAATATTAAAACTAATGTTTTCATGGATAAGGAAGCCTGCCAAGGAAACCAAGAGATGAGAAAAAAATTGAATGATAGAACATTGTTTTTAGTGTATTTTACAGCTGATTTAAGACGCGGGTCAAAACCGACCCATTAACACAAGGGACGGTAACAGAAAGCTAACACAAGACGAAGGTTAAGAAACAAAAAAGCAGGGTCAGATTCCTCGTATGTGTTCATGTTTGGGTAATAGAGCTAATTCTGATGCACAAAATTGCAGCCATGCCAGGAGACAAAGTTGGTATCTAAATCGATATCAGTATTTGAATCCCGATGTTAATTAACTCATAAGTTCCTCTTTTGTTCCTGGGTTATGATGCCGAATACCGGTGTACAAAATATTTTTGCAGAACATTATAATGTTACAGTGAAGGCAACCTTTGACCTTGTCATCAATTTATCCTATGTATGTCCTTATTGTGTCATAATTACCATATAAATACTTGAGAAACGGTCAAAATGTGTTTTGTGAACTTAGCCAATCAATTCTAATCAGTTCATCCTAGAGTCCCAGTGTACATTCCCTCAAGATTATGTCATCTATGAAAATGGACAGAGGTACAGCATACAAACATAATGCCTCCAGCACAGAGGGATAATAGCATTAGTCTTAAAGAACAAACTTTCGCCCAGGATCACATGTAACTGCAACTGTTGGTGTCAAAGTGCTGTATCTACAATCAAAAAGAGATAGCACAAATTTGACCTGCATGGAAGGCATGCCAGAAAAAAGCCTTTGCTATCCCA